AAAGATGTTCTATTCCATTCTATTCTATTTTTAAGTTTCTGGCTTCTTTTGACGTATTCTTCTAATGTCTAGTCAATCAGGCAAGATACACTTTTTACTAAATTTCTTTAACTTCTTAAGACTGCTCTTTTAGTCTATTCCACAAGAATACAAAGGAATTCCTGCCTGCAGACTTGTTCCCTGAACGTTGTAACCTTTCAAGCCGAGATTGAATAGGTATTATTTAGGTGTGCAAGCTTTATATATATATGTATATATACACACTCCCGGACACATATTTCGAGCCACCTTGCATTTAGTATTAAATACCCTAAGCTTAAAAATATGTTTGATGGATCAAAAACTATTAATGCAATTTTGAAGCTGGTTTACTAAACGTCATTTCCGTATGTCCTTGCTGAAAATTTGATTTTGTGAAACAAAGGAAAAATGAGTTTAAGTGTCACAAGTCTTGAATACACCTTTGTCAAATGAAACTCTAGTAAAGAAATTTTAAAGAAAACAGTGGCTTATCGGAAAAAAATTGTCTATTCAGTAACTTGTATTACCTCCAAGAGCGTTGGCAACGGCCGCCATGCGATTTGGCATAGAATTAATTAACGTCAATATGAAGTGCTGTGGAATGTTCTTCCAATCTTCCTCAATGGCAACTTTCAACTCCGGTAAGGTTTGCGGGGCTGGGTAGTGAGCTCGAACACGCCTCTTTAGTTCATCCCATAAATGTTCTATTGGATTCATGTCCGGGCTTCGTGCTGGCCATTGCATGGTAGTAATACCGACGTCATGAAGGTATTCCGTGACGATTCTTGCAGTGTACGCTCTTGTGTTGTCATGCATGAGAATAAAATCTCGGCCTACAAATCAAGCATATGGCATTACATGAATTTCGAGGCACTGGCGAATGTATCTGTCGGCATTTAATGGTGGCAGCCGCGGCCCCGTCACAAGCTCTAGCGCAGTTTTGCTTTCGGTGGACATTCCTTCCCAGACTGTTCATGAACCCCCACCACGGCTCACTTTCTCTACAATGCAACACGGCACAAAACGCTCTCCTTGTCTTCGGTAGACCTTGTTCCTTCCATCATTACCATAGACCATAATCTTAGTTTCATCAGTGAAGAGTACCTGGCTTCACTGACGTGGAGTCCAATGCAAATGTTCTCGTGCAAATTGGAGTCGCGCTATTCGATGAGCTCGTGTCAATTTGGGCCCGTTCGCTGGCTTATGTGGAGTTAGACCACGTTCCTTAACTCTCCTTCTCACAGTTCTAGCGCTAACAGCCACTCCATGAAAGTCTCGAAGCTGTTCTTGGATCTGAACTGAAGTCAATTGACGATTTCGTGAGCTCGTCGTGAAGATAAATCGATCTTGCCTTTCCGTTGTCACTCGAAATCGTGGTCTTCCTTGACGGCGAACATAGCCGCCAGTCTCTAAGTACTGATGGTTATAACCTTTCAACAGCGGAACGACTGAAATGCAGTTGTGTACTTACATTACGCTGACTAAGTCCAGACTGCAAAAGTGCCACAGCTTGTGCGGCTACTTCAGACGCAGTGTTCATAATTCCTTCGAGAAATTTGGTTAAATTTAGAGAAAAAACAATTTAATACTCCTTTATTGTTAAATAAAACAATTAAATAAAAAAATATTGAAATTATTTAGTTTTGCCTTCCACCTTACGCTCCCTTATTTCTTTAAAAACAATGACGAATCACAACTTTTCTCCGTTTTTCAAATTCGTAAATTCAAATTTGGAACGACGCCACACCATAATAACGGGGGAACTTGCCAGCATTAAAACTGCATAAAAACTTTTTCTTTAATAAAACAATATTTTTATATTCTAGGTCTTTCAAAATAAAAATTCAAGGTGGCTCGAAAGTTGTGTCCGGGAGTGTGTTATATTGTTTCATGTAGGTGGAAATTCGTCAATGGCATTGGATTCTCATATTTAAGTATACAATAATTGTATTATTTGTCCGTGAATTTTCCTAAAATGAATAAATAAATAAGCTCCATCGTCACCCTCATCGTCATTTTCCATCAGGTGAGATTGAGTTCAAATGCGCACTTACATTTGTATAAAAAAAAATCCGGCTTCTGGAACAATACAAAACATCACTATATACCGACACCGTTATTATACGTTTATTATTTAAGTTAGTTAATACAAATAAAATGAGTTATTAATTTTAAGAGGTACAAGTTTTTTCTAATTATTAATACACAGTCCAACACAAAGACGAGACAGGACAGTTCTGTCAGATAGAAGAATTTTTTCTTTGTGTTCGATCTTTGTATTAATAATTGTAACTTAATGCTATTAATTTTTGT